TATTGAATTCGCTTCGTTTCAACCTCGTTCATATCACATCACATCACATTAGAATGCCTGAAACTTTGATCAATTGATGTCATGATGTTGAAATATAATCTTACTTACCTACCTACCGAGGTATTCAGAGATAGATACCAGGGTTTGGAGCAGACGACCTCTCCTATCCTATCCTGTCTCTATCTGGCTTGATTAATTGTCAGTGTGTTGAGTGAAGTCTGGGGGTTACTTGTTTATAGAGTTGATTTTTATTTTTATTTTTATTCTTATTCTTATTCTTATTCCTACAAATTCTAGAATCTAGAAGTAATAACAAAGTTGACCTTATCCTACCTACCTAGATACTGTTAAATTCAAGTTTCTCTAAACGCTAGAACTTATATAAATATAAATATTCACTGCTTTGATATTGTTAACAGGAGTATAATACATACATACATATATACATATATACATATATACATACATTATAAATAAGGCGGGAGACAAGAGACAGGAGACAGGAGATCAGCGTAACGCTTTTACGCGCTCTTATAAGTTATAGTTCTAATTATAGAATTATAGGTTCTTTGTTGATGATGATTTGATCTTGGACCTGAATTTTGGATTTTATAGTCGAGTGTTTATCTCTCTAGGTAGGTATATAGGTATTTGGATTAATATCATCTCACCACCACACTTATAAGGAAAGCTTCATTACGGCTGAGATTAAAATAGATGATGGAAATGATGCGGTGGTTGAATTTCCACCAGCTGTATATGTGGCTGGGAGTACCTACTAAGAATCAAGATGGGAGATATACCCAAGTACCTCCTCCGTACTTACAAAAACGTGGGGTTCGAAGTGGGGTAAGGTTAATCCTAAGCATTTCCCAAGAAAATGTTGTGTTAACATTCTCCTCCCCTTTCCATAACCTACTATACCCCCCTTCCCAACCAAAAGAACCCGGGGAAGTGCATACATACATATAATATACATACACATATACACATAGATCAAATTAACTTTGCGGGGAACAAGAAATGAAACGAAGGACTGCATTGGGATGGATGGATATCTAGTACAATACTTGTATGTACATATGTATATGTATGTACTCTCTAAAAGTTTGTATGTAGTTATATAGGGAGGTATTTATTGGTAAGGTTTATATTTATTGATAACTAGAGGGCTTTTTGGTATATCTTATGTTGTTTTGGTTGGGGGTTTTGGTGGATGGGAGGGAGGGATTTGTATACTTACATATATACATCATTGCTCTTCTTCATTCTTTCATTCTTTGCTCTAGAAAGGTAGAAAAGAAGGAAAGGATATCATGAGATTAGATTTTCGTTCATTCTCTTCCGTATATGCATACATGCATGCATGCATGCATACATCTATCTATCTAGGGAGTACAATCCAAGTTCGTTCGTTCGTTCCCCTCGTTTCCCCTTTCCGGGTTTCGGGCTCCGCTTCCGGTTCCTGTTTGATGTATGCTTTGGGTTGGTATTGAGGGATTAGTTATATAGGTTTTTTAGAATAGAGATGGATGAAATGAAATGATTATTATATTAGGTTTTGGGTGATAGGTGATGGGTTTATAGGGAGGGCTAAAGGATTAAAATATCTGTGTAGGTAGGTAAGTGTAGGCAGGTGGTTTTATATACTACGGTGTATAGAATTTGTATATAGTTTACGTGGACGATGAGGCTATAGTATATATGAAGTTGAATAAGTATCTAGTATGCAAAACTGATCGATCTCAGTTCAGGGTTTCTATATACACAGTGCTCTAAGGAGTGCCAATGAAGTTCAGGCAATAGGGAGCTTGATACGTGTATGAGAGTAGATGGCATGGAAATACAGTATTAGGTAGTATGAATGAACGGATAACCTATCAACCCTGATCTTGTCTTGTGTGCATACAAGGTTTGAAATACTTTGGTATGGTATGCTATATATATTGTGTTGATTGTTACTGGCTTGAGTTTGTAGAGAGTGAATAGATGGATGAATAAATATATATATAAACAATAACTACCAAGTCTTATCAATACTTCAGAATTGTAAATGACGGCATCAGAGATAGAAATAGACACGGAGAATTTCCACTCCCAATTCGGACTTTACAAACCTCACTTCATACATGGTGGATATCCGAGGTCTATCTCTCTTTTTATTATTTCATTAACATCTTTGTGATCTTGAATCTCAAAATAGAATACGATAGAATAGAATAATATATAATAAAATAACCAACCAATTTACTATTTATAAAATTAACTTTCGTTCATATCATTATATTATTCTATCCTTTATATATATAAGATTATATAATCACATATGCTATACTGACATACTCTGTAAAATATTCCGTTCCGTTATGTGTGGCGATACCTTCATACGAAATTAAGCGACCAAGTCCCCAAAACACACTGAACAAGCCCGGCTGAAGATCTTAAGCAGGGTTACTTAGGTACTTGATACTACGCGGTACTGTAATACCGGTCGGTAGTGGTACATCCATCTATCTAGCTTTATTCCATACATTATTAAGATGTGATATTTACTAGGTATTTATCTATCTATCTATTTCATTGATTTAATTACGGAGGTATTCATTTATTCATTGTTCATTTATTCCTGAATTCATTTGTTCGCAGGTGATGGATTACCAACTAATAGATTCGAGTTATTTTTTAAGGCTGGACGGGCTTAATGAATGAATGGATGAAAGAAAGTATTCCTGCTTGAAAGGTGTTGCGTTTTACGTGTGCAGATGGATAGGAGAGGGGTTATAGTTAGGCTTGGTGGTGGTCATTTGGGAGGGACTGCTGATTGATGAGGTGTACAGAGGGAGGGAGTACTTTGGATGGGTGAGGGGTAGGTTTATTGGTGGTAAGACTTACATCAGTATAGATGGTTAGGTAAGGAGGTGAGGTTTTTACTTTTGGATTTTTGGGAGTGGGATTTTATGGATGTTGCTATGATATTGTATGGGATTGATTGTATATGACTGACCCGACGGTATGATACTGGGGATACATACTCCATACCAAAGTATCCATTCTTTTCATGGGTGAATGGGTGAATGGGTGAATGGGGATATGGATATGATGAGGGATACATGACCTCAAGGGGAAGGAGACCCATCTGGACAATTGCAATTGCGGTATCCAATTCGATAACGGTTGAAGATATGAAAGTCGAACACGTGCCAGTACTCCTCATCAATGGATACCATAACCGCCAATCCTTTAATCATACGGAGGCTCCGTATACGAATCAGATGGTATGTGGATTATAACATCCCCAAATGGTTGGGAACGAAGGCTCGGACTTTTGTAACTCAAATTACCGCTAAGTTCTCACTCATTGATGGTTTGTATTTGCAAGTTACAGGTTACAAGTTACAAGTCAAGTCATAACATAACTTACCCCGTATTTGAACCATAGCCACAAAATGTCCAAAGTCTGGTGGCCCTGACAAAATATCCGGGTTGTGGTCAATGGACATTCATTGATAGGGTATGTATGTACTCCGTACTAGGTACTTACTTGTACATTCGGTGGTTGAAGAGTGAGCCGGGCGCTTTTGCTACGTGCACATGATCCTTACTTTGTCGGTAATTGTCTTGTTCATCTTGTTCATCCTGTTCATCCCACTCATCAATGCATAGTTCTTACGAAATACTTGGTATCCTGCGGGCGGCGAAGTCGATTCCTTATGATTTAACACGATGTGGTTGGAAGAGAGAGGAAGGGTAGATTCATCATTCACGTATTCTCTATGGGGACAAGCCCCCAAACCCCCATAGCTCGCTGCGCTCGAATTGTTGAAAACATCCGCTGTGAAGGTTTCGGTCGATATGTATTCCGTATCTACCTAAACTTCCAATCGATCCCAATGCGTTTGACATGAGTAATCACATCAACTCGAATCAGCCACAGTAGTGATTGCATATGAAAGCAATGACCTATCGTCAGTTAGAGTTGGGTTTTGATGATTGACTGAGTCAATGTACATTCTTAATTGGGAGCTACTAAGTATGTATATGCTTTACTTATACTCTCTTTTGATTAGTATGGTGGAATTATTACTCGTTTCTACTTACTTTCATGCCTCACTCATTTCCCCATCACGTCTTTCCATGTCTCCCACATTTATTCAACCCACCATCTTGTCTGGCCCTCATGGCATGGCGAAAGTGAAAAAGCTCGGAAGGCTTCTTTCAATCATAACCAGGGGTAAAAGGTAAAAGGTAAACAGGGATCAAGAAAGTATGGAACCGATCACAGATTGTCTTCAGGTTCTGAGGAATCTGAGCAATCTGAGCACATGAATAAATACACTACTAGTGACCTAACCTAGGTAAAATGAATGCAATTCCGAAATCACTCAATTAGGATTAGCCCACCGCTCATTGGAATGAGAAAGGGCCGTTAACTTAAGCCAAACGAAGCAATAATCAATAAGAGTGCATGACCCAAATGACTCGATCGGTCATAGATGATTGATCATTGTCAAACATTGACTAATACTAAATGGGGTATTACTCCTCCACTATCACGCACTAATGAATTAGTACTCTTATTTCTTTTCCCTCACTCTTTTCGTAAGTTCACTCCAAATCCTCAGATCCACTCCACCGGGGAAGAGAAAAGATCAGAAATCTAGCCCTGCTTTTAATGCTTTTGCTTTGCTTTCTTTTTACTTCCCATATTAAACCCCAAAGTTGGAACCCAAGTTGACTTGACTTGATTTGACCCAACTTGACCTAACTTGACCCAACTTGGCCTAACTTGATTTTAATTCACCGACAATTTGGTCTAAAACGAGCAAGTGGTGAAAAGAAAGGGAAAATTAAAAAAGAAAAGATCCACAGTTTTTTCCGCCTTTCTGTTTCCGCCTTTCTGCTGGTAGAGCTAAATGATCAAGGCAAGGCAGGGTAGTCAGTCTAAAAGAAAGCCGACCAGCACATACAAATCCATTTTCATCAACTTCTAGATGTTCTTATTATAATCCACACACAACCCACCAAGAACCATTTTACCTACAATAACATCGTCTTATCACCATCCTTCCTATACAAACATCACATCAACATCACATCAACATCAACATCAATCAACATTACATTCCAGTACCCTTACCTTACTTACACTTGAACAACTTCTTTTCAGTGTAACAAGACACATTGATTGATCTTCGATTCCGATTCCAAATCTTCAACAAGATTCCGCTCGATTCTTCCTTTCATACAAAATAAAGATACCATTCATATCCCATTCATCTTTCCGCACCTCGCCGGAACATCATCGATTCAAACGAACGCAATTTATTCCGAAAGCGCATACTTGACCTACTTATTTCACACCCACATCCACCCCGTTTTCTCCTCCACACTTTCAACCCCCAACTTGAACCTACATACAACCCACATCGAAAATCCTCAAGATACTTTTCAAAGACCGTTTATTCAACCCTCTTTTACAATACTCTAGATTGACTATTGTAAATACAAATACCATCACAAGGACGAAACTCAATCAATAACAAACCAACATTCCTCCACGATTTCGCGATTGAGTCGCGATTTCTCCCCGCAGTCGTGCCTTCACCCTTACAACAGCTCGTGCGTTCGAGCAAAAAAGACTTTCATCATGCCTTCCAGATTAAATGCGCCGGTCTTGACCGTCGATGCCAAACTCATTCATAAAGTTGACACTAGAAATGTTGAAAACCTTTACAGCATGTGGACTGGTAAGTTTACTTCCTCTTCACCATCACATCATGGAATTGTTACGCGTGTGACATTCCTATGATTCAAGACACTAACATTTCTTCATAGTTTTCTCTAGGTGTGCGGGATCATTAGAAGAAGGTCGAAGATTAGAGAACTTAAGCTGGAGATTATGGACACGAGAAACCTTTTGCTGTGAACCAACTTCAGAAGCAAATGCTACCACACCCGCAATCTCAATATCCTCACGGAGTTCCGAAGGTCAATATTCGAATGATGTCCCAGAGTTGAGTGGAAGCTTAGATTCGGTCGTCGATGAAGAAGCAATTGAATTCGAAGAAAGTACCGACGCTTCCCCTCTCGATATCTCCCATCCACAAATTCGCAGACAAGATTCTTGCAATAGCAGAAGTCGAGGAAGAGAACGCCACATCACCCCCAATGACCTTGAGAAGATGGTTATAACTATTAAGGAAAAGAAAGATTTGGCTCCTCTCACCATCACCACACCTTTCCTTGCGCCACTCGCCGAGAGAATACCACAATTCACTCAACCACAATATGAATCATCTGCCACTGTAGCAGAGTCTTCATCAGCCAACTCATCGGCTCAATCCGCCACCACTCAGTCATCTATTGCCATCTCTGAAAAGGGTGCTACCTCGGTTGTGAAAGGTTTCTCACTTTCCCCAGCACATGTCAGCAGCTCAATGCGTTCAATGCCACTCAACACTGTGCCATCATCAATCCCAACTGCCGATATCGTCGCAGCGGATACTTCGAAAGCACTCGCACCAAAGAAGAAGCAGATGTTCGCTCTCGGTGGATCTTCAGGTGAAGACTCGCTTAGTGAGCAAGCAGTTTCCATGGACAACAAACCATTAACCCTCCAAAAGAAGAAGCCAGCTAAATTCAGCTTCGGTGGATCATCAAATGAAGACGAGAGTTCTTTACCAAACAGAATGCAACCACGCAGCTCAATAACTGACAAACTGCAAAAGCCTTTGGCTAAGAAGCAAACTTCATTCCAAGAAGAAGTTGCCACGAGAACCATTCAAGAGGAGGTATTCGATGATGATGTTTTCGAGACTGATGACGAGGATGATGTTGATGAGAGTGCCATTGATGACGATGATGATTCTTCTGATTGGGAGGATTCAGTTGAGGATAGTGGAAACGCAAGCATCGATGACAAGACCTTCTTTCAACGCGTCGACTCAAGACCACAACTCACCTCAAGAAGATCATTAATTACTACAATGCTTCACCAAAATGATCGTGCTCAAGCACTTGCCACCGAGGCTTCTCGATCAACACCTGCTCTTAGACGTTCCCGAAATTCTTCGCCAAATGGTCCTTCTCTTGCAGCATCACCAGAATCCGATGAAGCTCCTCTCATGATGAGAGGACTGAAATCAATCGCCGAAGTTCCTCGTGGAGCTCAACCAATCATCAAAACAACTACCAACACTACCGCACATCACCAAGCACTTTCACCAAGAACCACAAGACGAAACATGCTCGCCACTGAATTGACTGTCAGTCTTCGCCAAAACCTCCTATGGGAGAGAAGACAAAAGTCATCCGTCAACGAAGCAGCCGCTGCTCTTAAGAGAAGACATACTGCACACGATGTTAAAAACCTTAAACAATACCCTGAGAAGGTTTATATGGATAAGGATGATCAAGCTCTTAACTCAAGCTGGAATCAATACTTCAGTCAAGGGTTAGGAGAGTATCATTCTAAAGGATGGTAGATTTTGATCACTATCTCGTGTTAGTCGCATAATGTAATGGGTTTCTCTTTTGCGCATCGAGTAACATCAGTGGTATACAATTTATACGTTCGACTTTATGTTACATTCTGGTACATAAAGTCTTACAATGACTTCACAGTCAACTGCATTCATCGTCATGGAGTTTCTTGGCATAGAAACATGACGTGCGGATCATTATGCGGCACAGCATTGGGCACGAATTAATGTCTTTGCTTTTCAGTTTGCATTATAGCGATTGTTTTACAGCACAGGATTCGGAGGGATATTTGTTTGCTTTTTTTTATACATATTCACATAGCGACTGGGGAAGAAAAGGGTCAAACTTCCACACAAATCATTTTCAGGGCGTTTACACTTCGTTTCTTCGGGCATAAATTCATACTTTTGGTATGAAATTTGTTCAATGCCCACACAATTTGGGAGGGAAAGAGACTGGGTATGGGAACAAACTGGAATGGGAATTATTGGTTGGGTTTTCTTTTTTCTTTTTTTTTTAACACAAAAAGCTTTGCCGGGAAAGCAAAATGAATGAAGGGAAAGATTAATTTCTTTACCCATCTTTTTAAGTGTTTTGATACCAGCAAACTTCTTTACTGGCGTTGGGATGATACCATGGATTTCTCTAAGAAGAAAATCCTTTTTAGTTTTGCTTTCCCTCTTTGAGAGATAAGATTACTATGAACCTTTTGATAGGTGGCATGGAATCTTTGTATATGATCTGGATGGATGGGAATGGAATTGGGAGGATAGGAATGGGATTGGCAGTGGATGATTTAAAAGTTTAAGGAGAACAGTACTTGTATTATGACTTGCATAGCAAGCAAGATTAGATAGTTAGTGAGTTAAGGACTCATTTGGAGGAAAAGAGTGGAATGAAAATGAATATAATTTTAAATTTATTTACTTGATTGTTTGTGATTTTTGATTGTGGATTGTGGATAGTGTGAGGCTGAGTGTGAGGTAAATGTGAGACTGGGGGTGAGTGAGTAAACGATATCATTACAAGAATGATAATTCTAAACTTACAACCAACCGACTACATAAATCATAAAGTCATTATGCTCGTAATACTTATACTTGCTTATATTTATTTTATGCAATACTAGGTAGGGTGGGTAGTAGTAGATTGAATTGGTCAGGATATAATGATGATGATGATGATGATGATGATGCATATATATACTCGTACGCGTACTCGTACTCTTACTCTGGGGATTTGGGAGGTTGAGAAATGGGAAGTTGGGATTGAGAGAAAAAGGGGGGAGAAAGGGAAGGGGGAAAGGAGAGAAGGGGTGGTGAATGGAATTATAGATGGATGGATGGAATGGATGGATGGAGGGATGGATGGGATGGATGGATGGATGGAAAGGGGATGAAAATGATGGAGAGAGGAGAGGAAGAGAGAAGAAAAGATGGATATGATATGAGATAGGAAGGGAATGGAGGAATTAGATTGGGTGATGAGAATGTATGATAAGTAAATGGTAATGAAATAAAGAAATGGAAAGGCAAGGGAAAGGGAAGGGTTTTATTTATGTTTATTTGAGTATTGAATTTGTGGTGATGATGAGAGTGAATTCTTGGTTTTCTACGGGGAATTAGGTAGGATTTGGTTTGGATTGGATTTGGATTATAGTTTCTTGAAGTAGTAGTAATGTGGAATAGTGGGTTGGGTTTCTTTGGGATGGATTGGTAAGGGGGATTTTATTGGGTTTATTGGATTTTATGAATTTGAGCGGGGGAATCTTGGAGGTGGGAGGGGAAGAGTTTTGGAGATGGAATGAAAGGTTTGTATGCTGGTAGGTAGGTACGTAGGTGATGAATTGGGATGGATATTTAGGGTATGGAGATTGAGATGAGTATGGGTATAAGAATAGGCATGGGGATGCATAGAAATAATGATAAGATATAATGTGATAGGTATGCTATTGTAAGGAATTATAAACTAAGTTATGTTAAGCTGGTATGAGAATGAATCGATAAATTGATGAGTTGGTAGTGAAGGGATATTCGAGTGGCAGTTTGAGTGCATGAGAGTGAAACGGGAAGAGGGTGAGAAGGAGGATGAGAAAGGGTGGGTTAAGGGGAAAAAAGGGAAAGGGAGGGAAAGGGGGAGGGAAAGGAAAAGAGAATATAAGAGTGAGAGTGAAAATGAGAAAGAGAAAGAACTTAAATTGCTATTAAGTTTTATAATGAGATGGGATGGGATGGTATAGTTGTTACGAAAAGCGACACTTTCCCTCTTCATTCTAGGTAGGCCTATATAGTGGACCTCTACTGAGCTCTTTACTCTTTGAAACGACCTTTATTATTATCAATTTTAATTTAATAATAATCTAGAGTTTAGTTTAATAAAACTTTATATCGATTAGATACTATTTATTCTAAGATGTATACATCATTCTCGATTGATAAGATCGAGAGCAAATTATTTAATTCAATTTATTTATTAATTATATATTATATAATAAAGAATAAATAAACATTTCTTTAAATAAATTATAAACTATATTACAATTGAGTTCTATAAAAGGAATTTTCAAATTCTAATAAAATTTTGATGTTGATAGATATCATGATGGGGAAATATAGTTTTAGGTGATATTACGATTGGAATCTGAGTGTAATAGATGGGTAGAAATGATAGTTGATGATGGGTAAGGTTAAGTATGGGTTAGGCTATAAGTATTTCTAATCGGTGATAAATGTCATCATGGGATGTTTCTAGAAGGATAGATTTTGGAACTCACGTTCTACTCGCTCAATATAGAGGCTTCGGTTTTGGGTTCGACTGGGTAGTGATAATTTATGATGGTGGGATGGGAAGATGATGGATCAATGGATGTATTGTGGATGAGGGAAAATGTAAGGGGGAAAAGGGATTAGGCGAGATGTTCAGGGGATGGAAAGGAAGGCCGACCTGTGGAGATATTTCGGAGTGTGATGTTACTACTACAGAGTAGTATTCAAGTATCTTTCTCTATAATGACAGAAATGAGATCAGATATTCAGGAAATAAAGTTTTATTAATTCTATGAATTTAATTGAATATTTTTAATAGACAAGAAGCGTTGATGAATAAGTTCTCATAATTTCACATCCGATACTATCGTCTAGTTTAGAAACGAATCATTACAATGTCTAAGATATATCTATCAATGATTATAAACCTCCGGCTTGCCTCCCACCACTCGGAATCATCATAGGGGTACCTTAATTCTCCAAAATGCCATGTAGTATCAAGACTAACTGAGTTGAACCCTTGATACCGGTCATCATACATCTCTAACACAGTAACTGAACGGTATTGTCACCATCAGTACTACTCTTATCTATTACCACACCACAGGTTTCATTACTTACTATTTTAATTAATTATTTCATATCACATCACATGTACAATCGATGGACACAGATGAAATATAATATAATAAAAATAAGTCTCAGTTTATATATTCCTCTTTCAAAAAATCCTACTCGGTAAGGCACCGTGAAACAAAAGCTACCAATTCAGGGGTAACAATCTGGTCGCGTGGTCTGGACAGAGGGGTACGGGTATTTTTTAGCTGGGGTTCGAAAGGAAGGGTCCGTACCGAATGAAACTGTTGCGCCATCTAATACTACACCATTACAAATATTTCAATTCATAAACGTTGATGGGATGGGTGTATGGAATCAGTGATGGATGAATGACATTTTGATAGGAGTGGGAGTGTGCCATCTCTCGTTAGATGGGCTGAAAATGATGGGTGGTCAGCGAACGTCAGCATGGGAATTTGTGTTTTGGTGGGTCTATATTTAGGTGTTATTGGTGTTAGTTGGTGTTATTTGTATTGTTGAAGAAGGATTTGATTATGATGAGATGATGAGATGAGATGAGATTGTGATAACGTGGGGGATGGTCACCTTCATTGAAGAAATTTTTGGAGATGGAGTTGGGGAGACGGGATAGGATTGTGGGGGTCATATACAGTAAGCTAGTATAAAGTTGAAGAGTTTTATTCATCTTTACATTGGATATGGATATCAGAAGAGGATATAGGATGAATGTGGGTCAGAAAGGTGAGATTTCGTTCCGGAGGGTAGGGTATATCAATCATCATCATCTTCCATCAAACAGTCACGCACCCTCCTTTCCCCACGCTCGGTAATCCACACATTACTATCACCATTATCGATACTACAGAATTATATCGTAACCTATGTGTCTTACTATCATCTCACTTTCAAACACCGGATATACACAGAAACTCAGCATAGCAAGGAAAATCTAAGCCCAAACTTCAGATCAAAGGAGGGGGTGGCAGTTTGTCTTGCCTATCTTACCCATCTAATCGCACATCTCAATCCTACAAGGCTTCCCATACACAACCACCTACCTATCTAAGCCCATCACGAAGTTACAAATATAGAAAGTCTCCCAGGCCCCTCTCTCCATACCAAATCTACATGCGCATCAACAATATCAGATCTATCTCATGACCAATAATCGAAACAGAAAACGCTTTGTCTGGATAAGGTATGGAAAAGATGATGATACGTAAATACATGTCTATCAACGGCACGGCGCGTAAATACCACGTAGCTACCGCACGAAAACATAATTCTCAAGGAAAGAGGAGTAATTGGAGCGCCAAAGTGATCTCAGCCCGGTGGAGAACAAACCATTTGTAACATCCCCATTCTTCAGGGCTTCGCTTGGTTTTTGGAAACAGACGGAGAAATACAATCCAATGTACCTACCTAGGTTACCATGCACAATCAATGAATGACCAGGGATAATTATCCCATGGAACACAACGCCCATTTTTGAACTCACAGATGATCCCAAAAAATTAATTGTGTGTTAATGTGTGTTGTGCATGCATAACGGCGGTGAAGAGCCAGAATGCCTTCTTGAGTTTTATATTTTTAAGAATAATAAGGTTTATAAAAATGTTTATGTTTCTAATGGAATTTTCTTATTGGTTGATTATTGTTTTGTGGTGCTGGTGATAGATATGTAGGAGCGCGATGTACGCCAGCTTGCGACGGCGGGGTGAGATTGTTTGGATATTCTTCAATACTTTCTTGATATTAATGTGTCTAACGGCGCGCTTATAATATTCTGCAGTAAAGGGTAGACGCATGCTTATGGGTAGATTTGCTAGGACCTGAGTTTGGTTTCTTTTTAATTGAACCTTTACTTAACCTTATTGTTGGAATATCTGATTAATATTTCTTGAATATATTTTTATTTGAGGTTGCTGTCTTCAATAACATTGGTAAAG